CATCTTTGTGCAGCACAATCAGCCTCAACTTTCTTCCCCACCAAGCTTCTCCTTGCTCGGCTCTACAAGAGACAAACCCGGCCCTCGTTGAGGGCTTGCGGCAAATCTTGGGAGGAGCTGGATAACGACGACAAACCGGGGTTTGACCTGAGCTGCAGCCCTCTCCCTGCCTCCTAGACCTTGACAGGACACTCAGGAGGTGGAGAGGGAGAGTTGAAGCTCAGCCACAGGTGACATCATTATTGGGGTCCTCCAGAGATTCGGGCCAAGGTCCCCCAGCAGAGGGGGAGCAGGGAGGGTCCTGTTCCTAGTATAAAAATAGGAAGTAAAATGGTTTGCAAAACGCTGGGACACTCTCTGCAGCGGACAGTGCCGCTGCAGACCAAGCCACATGGTCTGCTGCTGCCCTTGGCTTTCCAAGCTGCCAAGATTGAGGGAGGCTTCCCCTGGGTTTAGCTTCCAGGCCTTTCTTGAATGAAAGCGACAGAGAGACGGGGCGAGCGCGGCCCTTGCAGATCCGTCCCTACACACAGCAGCACTGGCCCCGCATTCCCATCATGACCCTCCCCTCCCCTGTCCTCCTGTCAGGAGCTGACAGGCATCCCCCGAGGGGCCGCCCGCTAAATGGATTAGCCCACTTTGGAAAGTCCTCTTGCTGCTCAGCAGCAATTTATCACTGGCAGGAGAATTCTCTCCTGCTCTACTTGATAAATAATTCACAGCAGATTCCGCCCCCACCGACACACCCTGCCCTTCTTTGGTACAATCCTCCTCCTTGTCTGTCCCCCCCCCTCATTTCCAGCAGACAGGCTCAGACTAGCAGGAGTCCAGGGAGATGTGAACAGCTCCCTCAGGAGTTTGTCCAGAGTCCCAATTAACCCTCCCTTAGCAGCACTTAGTTATAGCGTCTGTGCTGGGCCCATCTGTGGTCTAGACGCCACCCTAGGTGACTATGGGGAACGAGAGGCAGGGAGGTGGAATGAACGCTCCGGCCAAGCACCATGGAAAACAAAGAGGCAGAAGCCCTGGCTTGGCAGCCGTTCTCCTAAGCCTCCATCCCTCCTGCATAACAGTTTAGCTGGGCGAGCCGGAGCGCTTCCCAGTTTGGGATTTTGGACAATGCAAGTATGAGGACCAGCCATCCTGCTATTAGGGGTTTTGTATTGTATACGCAACTATAACCTCCCCTCCCTGCCCCCCCCCCCCCACCAAAAAAGAGAACATCCCGACTGTTCACGCTTGCTATCCTGTACCTTGCTATCCTAGGTGCAAGGTACAGGATCACCCCCAGCGACTGTGGGGTGAAAGGAAACCCAAACCAAACCTGTCTCGCAATGGCATCCCTTACTAAAGGGCAGCTGCAGTTATGCTACTGTCTAGCTGAACATAAGAACGGCCAGACTGGGTCAGACCAAAGGTCCATCCAGCCCAGTATCCTGTCTGCCAACAGTGGCCAATGCCAGGTGCCCCAGAGAGAGTGAACCTAACAGGTAATGCTCAAGTGATCTCTCTCCTGCCGTCCATCTCCACCCTCTGACAAACAGAGGCTAGGGACACCATTCCTTAACCATCCTGGCTAATAGCCATTAATGGACTTAACCTCCATGAATCTAACTAGTTCTCTTTTAAACCCTGTTATAGTCCTAGCCTACACAACCTCCTCAGGCAAGGAGTTCCACAGGTTGACTGTGCGCTGTGTGAAGAAGAACTTCCTTTTATTTGTTTTAAACCTGCTGCCCATTAATTTCAATTGGTGGCCCCTAGTTCTTATATTATGGGAACAAGTAAATAACTTTTCCTTATTCACTTTCTCCACACCACTCATGATTTTATAGACCTCTATCATATCCCCCCCTTAGTCTCCTCTTTTCCAAGCTGAAAAGTCCTAGCCTCTTTAATCTCTCTTCATATGGGACCCGTTCCAAACCCCTAATCATTTTAGTTGCCCTTCTCTGAACCTTTTCTAATGCCAGTATAGCTTTTTTGAGATGAGGAGACCACATCTGTACGCAGTATTCAAGATGTGGGCGTACTATGGATTTATATAAGGGCAATAAGATATTCTTCCTGTTATTCTCTATCCCTTTTTTACTGATTCCTAACATCCTGTTCTCTTTTTTGATTGCCGCTGCACACTGCGTGGACGTCTTCAGAGAACTATCCACGATGACTCCAAGATCTCCTTCCTGGTTAGTCGTAGCTAAATTAGCCCCCATCATAGTGTATGTATAGTTGGGGTTATTTTTTCCAATGTGCATTACTTTACATTTATCCACATTAAATTTCATTTGCCATTTTGTTGCCCAATCACTTAGTTTTGTGAGATCTTTTTGAAGTTCTTCACATTCTGCTTTGGTCTTAACTATCTTGAGCAGTTTAGTATCATCTGCAAACTTTGCCACCTCACTGTTTACCCCTTTCTCCAAATCATTTATGAATAAGTTGAATAGGATTGGTCCTAGGACTGACCCTTGGGGAACACCACTAGTCACCCCTCTCCATTCTGAAAATTTACCATTGATTCCTACCCTTTGTTCTCCATCTTTTAACCATTTCTCAATCCATGAAAGGATCTTCCCTCTTCTCCCATGACAACTTAATTTATGTAAGAGCCTTTGGTGAGGACTTTCTGGAAATCTAAGTACACTCTGTCCACTGGATCCCCCTTGTTCACATGTTTGTTGACCCCTTCAAAGAACTCTAATAGATTAGTAAGACACAATTTCCCTTTACAGAAAACATGTTGACTTTTGCCCAACAATTTATGTTCTTCTACGCAGGTCCGGCTTTAGGAAGTGCGGGGCCTGATTTGAATACCCAGCGGTGGTCTGGGTCTTCGGCAGCACTTTGGCGGCGGGTCCTTCACTCACTCTGGGTCTTCCACGGCACTGAAGGACCCGCTGCCGAAATGCCGCTGAAGACCCGGAGCGAGTGAAGGACCCGTCGCCGAAGACCCGGACCACCGCTGGGTGAGTAAAAAATTAAAAAAAGTTAGGCGCTCTTCTTTAGGGGCCGGGACCCTCTTAGGCGCAAGGCCCGATTCGGGGGAATCGGCCTAAAGCCGGCCCTGCTTCTACATGTCTGATAATTTTATTCTTTATCATTGTTTCAACTAATTTGCCCGGTACTGCCGTTAGACTTACTGGTCTGTAATTGCTGGGATCACCTCTAGAGCCCTTTCTAAATATTGGCATTACATTAGCTACTTTCCAGTCATTGGGTACAGAAGCTGATTTAAAGGACAGGTTACAAACTATAGTGAATAGTTCCGCAATGTCACATTTGAGTTCTTTCAGAACTCTTGGGTGAATACCATCTGGTCCCGGTGACTTGTTACTGTTACGTTTATCAATTAATTCCAAAACCTCCTCTAGTGACACTTCAATCTGTGACAATTCCTCAGATTTGTCACCCACAAAGGACAGCTCAGGTTTGGGAATCTCCCTAATATCCTCAGCCGTGAAGACTGAAGCAAATAATTCATTTAGTTTCTCTGCAATGATTTTATCGTCTTTAAGCGCTCCTTTTGTAATTCGATCATCCAGGGGCCCCATTGGTTGTTTAGCAGGCTTCCTGCTTCTGATGTACTTAAACATTTTGTTACCCGCTGAACCAAAATAAGCCCCTCAAACTGAAATAAGAGTGTCCACAGAGAAGTTTAACTAACCCAGGGCACATTTGTATGTAAACAGAGCCCTAACTAAACTGGGGCAAGTCTGTGTGGAGACGTCCTGGAATCTGCCATTCAGACTAATCACTGGGAATCCCAGCTCCTGCTCCCTCACCATGGCCCGGAGCTCTGGCCTATCCTCCCTTCCCGCTCGTCCTCTCTTCTCGTTCCTTCCTTTCTGCTACTTCCATTCATCCACCCACTTCATACCTTTGAGACGCTGGCAAACCAGGTGCCAGCTCATGCCAAGGCCACTAGGTCTCCACTGAACACTGACAAATAAATAGCGGGAACCAATCTGGCTCCCCCAGGGGTTAGTATCGTTTACTATACTGAATACTGAAGTGTTTGCTCTGTAACTGTACATGGCCAGAGGAGAGAAGCATTACCAGGTGTGAAATACTAGTTTCCAACAGGAGAGGTTTTCTGCCCAACAAAGGAGGCCCATCAACATCAGACCAACTATTGTGGAACATCAGAGGACAAAAGACTTTGTTGATTTCCCTTCCACCCCCCCACCCACCCACCCCATGAAGAGGAGATGTGCAAGTGAATTGCTCCCCACAGCGGGGGCGGGAATAAAAAGCCTTAACAAGGAGGAACTGTATCTTTCATGCTGCTTGGACTCTGAGGGCAAGGATTACTATTCCCTGTGCTTGGCCTGGGTTAGCCCTAAAGGACATAGAGAGCTTGCTTATTATAGAAGCGTCTATTCCTTTTGGAAACTTAAGATTGGAACTCATGTGTGTGTGTATATATATCTACTTGCATTAACCTTGGAAATAACTCATTTCCTTTTCCTAGTTAATAAATCTTTAGATGGTTTATTATAGGATTGGCTACAAGTGTTGTCTTTGGTGTGAGATCTAAGGTGCAGTCAACCTGGGGTAAGTGACTGGCCCTTTGGGACGGGGATCAACTTGAATATTACTGTGATTTTGGGTGTAAGGGACCACCCATCACAAAGGCAAGCTCCGCTGGGCAGCAAGACAGATCGCAGTGCCCACAGGGACTGTCTGTGACTCCATGTTACAGTGCTTGAGGAGTTTACACTTGAGAATTGGTTGGTGTATAAAACTCAGTATAAAACTCAGCCAATTGGGGGTTTGTGCCCTGCTTCCTAACAGTCTGCCCTGAGGTTAGTAACCGTGCTCTTGAGATGCTGCATTTCAGCCTGGCAGCCTCACCTGTCAGCCTTTCTGCCCCAGCTTCCAACTTCCTCTTGCCCATCTCTATTTCTGTCCTTCCTGTCCTCCCACGTTCCAATCTCTGTCCCTCCTCAGGTCTTGTCAACAGGAACTCCATCCTCCCCAGCCCTGCTTCTCCTCACCTGGACTGCAGGTGCTCCAGTTGCACTTGGAGGTTCTCGCTTTGTTCTGTCTGCTCATCCAGGGACCTCTGCAGTTTCCGTGCCTGGTTATGGGCTTCATCAAGCTGCAAGGCAAACAGAAACACAGCTGTCTTCGCCGAGGGCAGCAGCTAGCGATAGCCATGTGCAGTATCCATCATCCCCAGTCACTGCCACCCACAGGGCTTGTAGGACAGCCCAGTGAGCTGAGACGAGAGGATCAGGTGTAGGGCATAACTGAACTTGATGGAGGCAGCTCTGAATTTCCTGGATTCTGTGGGTTGGTGTCTCAACATAGTCTGAACGTATATTTCTTTTCTGCCATTCTCTCGTTACTGTTATGGTAGTACGGATATGAGACTGGCCGTTAGCACAGACCATCTCAAGGTGGCTGGTTCAAATCTGACCCAGACTCAAAGCCTTTACTCTTTGATGGTGGCCAGTGACAGGCCCATGTAACAAATATTGCCTACACTAGTGGTTCCCAAACTGGGGTTCGTGAAATGTTACCAGGGCCGGCTCCAGGCACCAGCTTCTCAAGCAGGTGCTTGGGGCGGCC